TGGTTTGAAGTTCATAGCAAAATTCTATAAAATGTATAGTTCCATGAACACTCTCTTGATTTGGATACACAGTGCCCCATCAAAATCCTCCACCAGAATGTTATATTTGGTGCAATTGGCACCGCCGTATTACCAAACAATGATGGTGTTCATGGGGTTTACTTGCTTTGCTTGTCTGTTTCCCACTCTGCCCCCTTTGGTTTTTTGTTTTCTTTTGTCTTGAGATAGGTTCTCATTTAGCTCAGGCTTGGTGTCATGAATCCCCTGGAACTGGAAATACAGACAGCTGTGAGCTGCCATGTGGGTGCTGGGAATTGAACCTGGGTCCTCCGGAGGAACAGCCAGTGCTCCCAACTGCTGGGTTTTCTCTCCAGCCCTTGTATTAAGAATTTTATTATGTATTTATTTATTGTGTGTGCACAGGTGCACACGAGTACTCACCCACATGCTTGTGCCTGTGTGTACACGTAACTCTCCATTTATCCTTCTGAGGAAAGGTCTCCCTGAACTTTGGGTTTGTGTTTTTCTCAACTAGACTGGAGGATCAGGGAGCCCCAGGAGCCCCAGATCCACTGGTTATCTCTGGAGTCCCCGGGCTTGCTTTGTGGGAGCTGGGATCTGAACACCATCTTTCACTGCAGAGTAAGTACTCCTAACTGCTGAGCCATCTTTCTTTGCAGCTCCTTGATAGCTTTAATTTTGAGACAGGGTAGTGTACCCAGACTGGAGCTTACTTCATAGAACAGGCTAGCCTCGAACCTCCTACCTCTGCCTCCTGAGTGCAGGCTCTGGTACCTTTTTGAAAAGCTCCAAACGTTATCTCTTTACTCCAGACGTGCTTTGGTCTATCCATTCATGCATTAAAAGACATCCTGTCTACTCCCGAGTGCGGGTGTTACAACTATCATTGCTGCACACATCCACATGTAGGCTCCGGTGTGAATGCAAAAAAGTCTTCATAGTCTGCAGTGAGTGCGACTGCTGCCCTGTATTCTAAGAGAAGAGTTTCATAAGAAACTGCCAAGCTGTTGTCTTACGCGGCTAAAGGCTTTCCTTTCTCACTGCAGCAGTCATCCTTGTTACTCCGAGGTGGGTGTCAGAATGGGGGACACTCATGGGCCTTTCTGACAGGAGGGCAGCGGAATGCCATCAATAGCGGGTGTCTGTCAGGTCTGTTGCTTGTCTGCTTTGGCAGTGCTGGGGACTGAACCTACAGCCTCTCGGCTTCTGTAGGGTGGGATTACAACTCAGCCTTGTGCATGTCTAAAAAATTTTTGTGAATTATTTTTTTTATGTGTTTGAATGTTTTGTATGTGAACCCCAAGTGTACAGTGCCTACAGAGGCCATAAGAGAGGGTCTCCGAATCCCCAGGAACTGGAGTCACAGACAGTTGTGAGACACATTCTGGGTGCTAGGAACTGAATTGTTGCGGTCCTCAGTAAGAGCAGCCTATGCTTTTGTCCATTAAGCCTTTCTCCAGGCCCCATTTCTAGAAAAGTATAAGTTTTATTTATTATTCTTACTATTATTAGTATGAGTGCGTGCATGTGTGTGTGCTGCGTGAGCTTGCGTGTGGGCATGTGTGTGCACATGTGTGCACGCATGTGTGCATGTGCATGCGTGTGAGCATGCGTGCGTGCATGCGTGAGTGTGTGTGTGAGTGTGTGTGAGTGTGTGTGTGTGTGTGTGTGTGTGTGTGTGTGTGTGTGTCTGCGTGTGTTCACAGGACTTGGTTCTCTTCTTCCACCAAGTAGGTTCCTGGGACTGAACTCAGGTCAAGGCTTGAGTGTCCATATGCACTTAGCTATCTTGTAGGCTCAGTGTAGCATTGTTGTGCTTTCCATGTAAAGCTACAATCAGTTTTGAGTTCGTTTGTATAAAGACCATGAGACCTGTGTCTAGATTACTCTCCCCTGAGTGTTGGCACGTCCAGTAGACCCAGTACCATTTTCTTAAGGGCGGTCACCCTCCCTTTATCCCTGTGCTTTCTGGCAAAGCTGACTGCGTTTATGTGGGTCTCTTTCTGGAATCATTCTTCTAAGCCACTGATTTCTCTCTCTCTCTCTCTCTCTCTCTCTCTCTCTCTCTCTCTCTCTCTCTCTCTCTCTCTCTCTGTGTGCCCCCTCTTCCCATCCTCACTTCCACACTGTGCTGATTACATGAGCTCTGAAGTCAGGCCCAGTTTGTCTCTACTTTGTTCATCCACTTTGCTTCTGAGGCTCTACTCTGGATCTTTTGTTTTTGATTTAAACTCTACCATTGGTTTGTTGATGCACACAAAAGAACCTGCTGTGACTTTGACAGATCTGGGTTCACTCTACAGAGAAGTTTAGGGAGAACTGACATCTCAACAATAACAAGTCTTCTTATCCACGGGTTATTTACTTGTCTTTGTTTCAGCAGGGATTTGTAGTTTTCTCCAGTGGTTTCTTTTTTGTATTTTTAGATCTATTTTTTTGGGGGGGTGTGCTAATATAAATGACAATGTTTTTATTTTATTTTCTTAGTTTTATTTAATTTTATTACACTTGATTGCACATGGGGAGGAGGTGCGTACCATTGGTTATTGGCTTCTACCAACTGGGTCCTGAAAACTGAACTTGAGTCGTCACCCTTGGCATCACAAAGTCTAAATTTATTTAAAATTTAATTATTATTATTTATTCAATGATTATATATGTGTGTGCCTGGGTGTGGGCATATACACATGAGTGCAGTTTCTGGAGGAAGTCAGAGGCATCAGAAATCCCTGGAGCGGTACTTACAGGCCATTGTGTATAACCTGAAGTGCTTCCTAGGAACTAAACTCAGATCCTCTACAAGGACAGGAAGTGATCTTCAACCCTGTTACTATGTTTTTAATGTCAAATCTACTTCTCCATTGAGGACATGTTGGAAAGTGACTCACTTTTGTATAGTAACTTCTCGTACCTACACATTCATTATAATTGCTTATAGAGCCCGGCGTTGGTGGCACCGCCTTTAATCCCAGCACTCGGGAGGCAGAGGCAGGCAGATCTCTATGAGTTCGAGGCCAGCCTGGTCTCCAGAGCGAGTGTCAGGATAGGCTCCAAAGCTACACAGAGAAACCCTGTCTCGAAAAACCAAAAATAAATAAATAAATAAATAAAATAATTGCTTATAGAGTTCTGAAGTATTTACATGGTACATTCTTTTGAATTTTCTACATACATGATATATGTATGTAGAACCTATGAACAAAAGAGCAACTTTACGTCTTCTTCCTCAGCCTACGTAATACCTATGTCCTTGTTACACTGTTAAAATGGAATAGTGAAGGCCATCTAGAGCCACCTGGACAGCTGTGAGCTGCCATGTAGGGTGCTGGGAATTCAACCCAGGTCCTCTAGAGGAGCAGCCAGTGCTTTTTTGTTTTGTTTTGTTCTGTTTTTTGAGACAGGGTTTCTCTGTAACAGCTCTGGATGTCCTGGAACTCACTCTGTAGAGCAGGCTGGTCTTGAACTCACTGAGATCTGCCTGCCTCTGCCTCCCAAGTGCTGGGATGAAAGGTGAGGGCCACCACCGCCTGACAAGGCCAGTGCTTTTAGCCTCTGAGCCATCTCTCCAGCCCCAAGAATGTGCTTTTTTTGGTTTGTTCAGATTTTTACTTATTAGAGGGGACAGTGGTGACTTCCCAGCTCCTGAAATGCAGGCCGGAAGCTATCATCCCTGTTTACACTGAAGGACACCAAGTACATACATGTGTAGTTTTCTGATCAAGGTCCCTCGGCCTAGTGCTAGGCAGGGGTTAGATACAAGCAGTAGAGGAAGGGCAAAGCTCTACTGTTTAAAAGTTTATTATTTTTTAATATTGTGTGTGTGTGTGTGTGTGTGTGTGAGAGAGAGAGAGAGAGAGAGAGAGAGAGAGAGAGAGAGAGAGAGATCTCAGGCACCTAGACTCAGAGCCCAGGTGTGTTGGCTCTACCAGAGCTGGAGTTTCAGGCAACAGTGAGCCAAGGTTGTGGGTTCTGAGAACCAAAACTAGGTTCCCTGTGTCATTTAATCTTAGCTCTGTGGCAAGAGGACTTCTGAGCTCATATGATCACAGAATCTCATTTATGAAATGAAAATATTGACATCAGTAACCCATTCCAGCAATGGGATTCTATGATACCACAGAACCCTAAATTTCCTTTTTCTAGATACTAAGATTCTATAGTAATCTTGCTTCAAACACCAGTGATGTGAAGCTGGGCCTTGTGTCCTTGTGTACTCAAAAACATTTTTAGTGGCTGGGCATTGTGGTGCACGCCTTTAGTCCCAGTACTCAGGAGGCAGAGGCAGAGGCAGGCGGATCTCTGTGAGTTCAAGGTCAGCCTGGTCTACAGAGTGCCAGGCAGGACAGGCTCCAAAGTTACAGAGAAACCCTGTTTTGAAAAATCAAAAAGAAAAATGTTTTTAGTGTGTGTGTGTGTGTGTGTGTGTGTGTGTATATGTATGTGTATGTATGTATGTATGTATGTATGTATGTATGTGTGTAAAAGTGCACCATCACTCCCAAGCACATACCCACACAATGACAAATACACAATTAAAAAAAAAAATCACATTCTAGCACTCAGAAGACAGAGGCAGGCCAGTCTTTGTGAATTTGAGGTCAACTTGGTTTAGAGTTCTGGGTCAGTCAGGTGTACACAGTACAACTCTGTCTTAACAACAGCAACAACAAAACTAACAACAATAATAATGACAATAACAGTAATAATTAATATAGAATGGCTATAAAGTTTGAGGAGAGGGACCTCTACATTTGCATTCAGTGTTATGAGAATGTGACACTCTTCAGCTACTGCTGTAACCAAAGCTCAGATGGTGTGTTCCCCAGGATTACAGTCCAGGAAAGGAACATTTAGTGTTGACTGAAGCTGTCTAAGCAACTCCCAAACCCACTGGAAAGAAATTGCAGGGTTATCATCGGATGAGTACTTTACCATCTGGGCCAACATCCAGACAGTGGAGACAAAGGCTGGGCACTCACCATTTCTCCTCTTCTACTTGCACTCCCACGGACTGGAACTTACTGGGCGCCTTATTCTCCCCCGTCTTCTCTGGCTCTTCAGCATCGTCCACCTGAAGAAATGATCAAGCAAACAGAGTTGAGCCTTTTCCATTGCCTCACTTGAGAGGCAAATGTGTGTTCGTCTTAGGCATCTGTGGTTACGATGGGAATGCTCTGTGGCTTATAATCGCTTTGATTCAGATTTGCACATTTGATATCAGCAATTGCTACATTATTAGCATGCTCTCTGAGTCTGCTAATATTTTCTAAAAACGTGTGTGTGTGTGTGTGTGCGTGTGTGTGTGTGTGCGTGCGTGCGTGCGCGTGCATGTTCCTGGGGAGGCCAGAAGAGGTCTGCAGATCCCCTGAAAACTGGAGTTACAGGCAGTTGTGAGCCACTAAGTTGGTGTTGGAACTGAACCCTGACCCTCAGCAAAAGCAACAAATGCTCTTAACCACTGAGCCATCTCTCTAGCCCCCAACTCTACTGATTTTAATAAAACGCAATTTTCCTTCCATAGCTGACAAATGTCTATGATTCCTCCACAGACTTACAAGCAAAGTCATTCATTGGTCTCCACAGGAATTGGTTCTATGATCACCATAGACATCCCGATTCAAGAAGGCTCTACCTATGACTGCACCATTCCTCCCTGTATGCTGCCATATCTAGAGCATCCCTACTTAACACTGTTGACACGATATGCAGAGTTGCGCACTACACAGAATAATGAAGGAATTATCCATACAGGTTCACTCTTCTAAAGATCTGTTCTTATTTATGTGTGTCTGTGTGTGCACATGTCATGTGTGTGCGGCTACCTCGTGGAAGCCAGAGGATGGTGTTGAATCTGCTGGGGCTTGTGTTAGAGGCAGCGGTGAGCCATTCCTCCACTGTGAGTGCTGGGAAGCAAACTCAGGTCTTCTGGAAGATGAGCAAGTTCTCTTCACTACTGAGGCATCTCCCCTACCCCAGGGGCAGGTTGATTGAGTCTGTGTATACCCAACCCATGGATATGTATGTAATGTCTTCTGAGTACTCCATTGGAAGAGAGTGTCACAAACAAATGTGTTTTGAAAGTTCTAAATTAGCAGTGAAGACACAAAAGAGGGAGTGGAGATGTATCTCAGTTGGCAGATTGCTTGCCTAGTGTCCTGGTAGTCCTGGGTTGGATCCTTACCACCAAGTAAACTAAGGCGTGGTAGCTTACATCTCTAGTCCCAGCCCTTGAGAAGTGGAGGGAGGAGGACCTGAAGTTTAAGTTTCTGTGGCAAGTTGGAGGGCAACTAACGTTACCTGACACCCTATCACACCCCACATGGAATACATAGTAAATGTAAAAAGGTGGGCTGCTGGGTGGTGGGCGGTAGTGCCTGCCTTTAATCCCAGCTCTCAGGAGGCACAAGCAGGTGGATCTCTGAGTTTAAGGCCAGCCTAGTCTACAAAGCAAGCTCAGGGAACCTCTGTCCTGAAAAACAAACAAACAAAAACAAATAAATAAGGAAAGGTGGGCTAATGAGATGGCTCAACAGGTAAAATCACATGCTACCAAGCCTGAGAACTGTGATTCAATCCCTAGGAGCCACATGGTGGAAAGAGAGAACCAGTTTGTCCTCTGACTTCCACAAGCAAGCCATGCCATAAGTAAGTGCCCCCATCAACACACTAAATAACTAAGCAAAAGTAGTAAAAGAAAAAAAATAAAGCAAAACATAGAGTATTGTAAGATATATGCTAATAACAGGGCCACATAGGAATAAGTAAAACATATCTGCTAGAAGATTCACAAAATAGCATTATATACAAATATTGAGTGTATTGATTTTCCTCCAAAAGAGAACTGATTGGTTTTTGATCACAACTTGTTGAGGAGTCTTGTCATCACACACACACACACACACACACACACACACATATGTATATTTTGGGGGGCTAGAGAGATGGCTCCGAGGCTAGGAGCACTTACTACTCTTGCAGGGGATCCATGTTCAGTTCCCAGCACATGGTGGCTCACAACTGCCTCTGCCTCCAGTTCCAAGGGATCCAGTGTCATCTTTTTTTTACCTCTGCAAGCTCCTGGGTACATGTGGTGCACAGACATGCGCTCAGGCACGGTCACATACAGATGTACGTAACATAAGTAAATAAAAGCTAAACAATGTTCTGAGTATCGGATGATGTATTAGCTATTGAAAATAACATACAAAGAAAAAGGAAAGAGAATGGACTAAACATTGAGGAAACAGAAGCAAGCTATCATTCCGTGGCACTAATTTGGTGCCAGATAGAAAGGCAGATATTTTAATCACCATGGTGAAGCCTGTGTAACATAAGCTTTCCCACTGTAACCATGGTGATGTACACGGTTGAGTGGCACTGAACACACTCACGTTGCTGTGCAGCCACCACCAACAGCATCCCAAACAGAGACCTGTGTCCACTGAACAATAACCCCCACAGGAATCTAGATTGTGTGTGTGTCTTGGGGTATGGGTGAGGTGGGGTACCAGCCACGGTGTTCCCATGGGGTTCAGAGGACAGCTCTCAGGAGTTGGTTCTCAACTTCTACCATGGACTCTGGGACTCACGCTCAGATGATCAGGCTTGTACAGCAAGAGCCTTTGCCCTCTGAGCCATCTTACCGGCCTGGAATTTAGAGTTTTTAAAAATCCTCATTCTTGGATGAGCAAGGTGGCTTGTTGGGAAAAGGCACACTGCCAAGACTGTCAAGTTGAATTAGACCCTGGGCCCACATAATGGAAGGAGAGAACTCACTCCTGTAAGTTCTTCTCTGGCCTCTGTGTGTATGCTGTGGCAGTGACCCCCCCACACACACACCTCTTCTACACTCACGGTACATAAGTAGAAATCTTCACTGGTTCCTAGTGCTGGTGATGTATGCCTGTAATCTCATCATTTGATAGGACAGGCCGGAGGGTCACATCCCTTAGTGATGGAGGGAAAAATTAGCTTCCAGTGGGAACCAGGAGATGTGGGCAGGGGGCTGGCTTGGGCTCTTTCTTACTCCTATGCTGTCTTGTACCCCCAAGCTTCAGTGTAGTCTCTTTGGGAGACCCGACCACCTGTGCAATGCAGGCTAGAGGAAGACATCTGACTCCCCTCTATGAGGGGAGGATTAATTGTCCTTCAAAGGTGAACTTTGCAGAATGGACTGTGAAGATACAACAGTAGAGTGGAAATGTGCCTGCACCTGGCTTTCAGATGTGCCAAGAGTAGGTTCAGTGTGTCTGTGACTCATGGCCTGCCTTCTAGAGAAATGACTGTCCAACAGGCACCTGCAGAAGGTGCCACAGACATGAATGTGTCTTAGGGTCACCCAGAAGGATGGGCTGGAAAGATGGTTCAGTGGGTAACAGACCTACTGCTACGCCACATAGCTTGAGTTTGATGTCCAGGACCCACATGGTAGAAGAGAATCAAATTCTGAAAGCTGACCTCTGACCTCCATATGTGTGCACATGCATACACATAATACATTAAAAAAAAAAAAACAAAGCAAGATCAGATGGTGTTATTTTAGAAAAGTTACAACACAGTAAAATATTTCCTCTGTGGAACATGGGTTGGGAAAAGGGAAAGAGAGCAAAGGACTGGGAAGCCTCCGAGACGCATGATTAAATAGGCAACAGTGACCCCGAGACTGATCGCATTCCTTCCTTGTGATGCTGGGTGAGTTGCTGCTTTCCACAAAGCAGTTGCTTTGCCCTTGGACGCCTGCATCTGTGAGTGGATCACATGTTGTTCTCATAAGGCACTTCAACAGGATCAGGCATCAGGCAACCTGAGATGACTGCAGCCACACTTGGACGTGTACCCCTTCACTAATTTTGGTATCGTGTGTGTGTGTGTGTGTGTGTGTGTGTGTGTGTGTGTGTGTGTGTGAATGTGCATGAGTGTGTGTGAATGTGCATGAGTGTGTGTGCATGTGTGTAAGTATGTGTGAATGTATTATGTGAGTGTGTGTGTGCATGTGAGAATGTGTGTATAATATGTGAGTGTGTATGAGTGTGTGCATGTGTGTAAGTAGTGTGTATGTATTATGTGAGTGTGTGTGCATGTGAGAATGTGTATATAATATGTGTGTATGAGTGTGTGCATGTGTGTAAGTAGTGTGTATGTATTATGTGAGTGTGTGTGCATGTGAGAATGTGTATATAATATGTGTGTATGAGTGTGTGCATGTGTGTAAGTAGTGTGTATGTATTATGTGAGTGTGTGTGCATGTGAGAATGTGTATATAATATGTGTGTATGAGTGTGTGCATGTGTGTAAGTAGTGTGTATGTATTATGTGAGTGTGTGTGCATGTGAGAATGTGTATATAATATGTGTGTATGAGTGTGTGCATGTGTGTAAGTAGTGTGTATGTATTATGTGAGTGTGTGTGCATGTGAGAATGTGTATATAATATGTGTGTATGAGTGTGTGCATGTGTGTAAGTAGTGTGTATGTATTATGTGAGTGTGTGTGCATGTGAGAATGTGTATATAATATGTGTGTATGAGTGTGTGCATGTGTGTAAGTAGTGTGTATGTATTATGTGAGTGTGTGTGCATGTGAGAATGTGTATATAATATGTGTGTATGAGTGTGTGCATGTGTGTAAGTAGTGTGTATGTATTATGTGAGTGTGTGTGCATGTGAGAATGTGTATATAATATGTGTGTATGAGTGTGTGCATGTGTGTAAGTATTGTGTATGTACTATGTGAGTGTGTGTGCATGTGAGTATGTGTGTGTGAGAGGGAGCGAGGGGGAGGGAGGGGGAGGGAGGGAATGTCTGTGAGTATGGACAGGCATGTACCACAGCACTTTAGCACTGTACCGGGAAGACGCGATGCAGGCGCTGGGTCTCTTCTCCCACCAGTGGTTTCTGTAGACTGAAGGCTTGGCACTTGGCTACCTTGCCTCACACTCTTTTGAAAAGAAGACACCAAGGAAACAATGCCTTCTAGACACATCAGGATTAACATACATGTGAACTCACTGTGGCAGCGTGCACAGGGCCTGCATGGCTCTGGGCCAGATGGGGTCCCGGTGCTGAGAGGGGAAATGGTGGGAGCCCCCACCCCCACCCAGAAGCTACTTCAATAGACAGCTGCTCACAAAGGGAAAATCCATTTTCTCCTATGGAGTCTCCCTGGGCCCACAAACCACACTTAAGGGCAGTCCCCATGCCCGGCACAAAACTAACTCAGTGGTGGTTTTGTCCTTAATGCTTTGTCAAGGATTTCTTTTTTTTAAACCTTACAGGTCTTTGTTTTCTGATTTTGTGTTTTGTATGGGAGATCAACCATGCTTAGAATATAGTCTGTGGGAAAAAACAAAAAATAAAACAAAACAAAACAAAAACTACTTTCAATTTAAAAAAATTATTTTTATTATCTATGTATGAGTGTTTGCTTGCCTGTATGTGTGTGCAGTATGTGAGTGACTGGTGCCTGAGGAGGTCAGAGAGACCACAGGATCCCCATGAGCTGGAATTACACAGCTATCAAATCCAGATCCTCTGCAAAAACAGCAAGTGTGCTTAGCCATGGACGTGTCTCTCCAGCTCCTGAACTCTATTTGAGGATCAAAATGTACTTGAGACTAAAGGTACTTGAAGTTAGCATACAAAGTAATGGCAGCTATAATTCTGCTTTTTTATTTTTTGGTATTTTGGTTGGTTGGTTTGTTTTAAGAAAGGGATACACAGCCTAAACTTGCAATGTTCCTTTGTTTGTTTCTGAGACAGAATCTTACTATGTAACCAAAGCTGGCTTTGAACTCACAGAGCTTCACCTGCCTCTGCCTCCTAGTGCCAACACTAAAGGTCTTTACCACCACACTGGCTCAGTCTGCATCCCTGTTGCCTCAGCTTCCTGAGAACTTAGATCACAGGCATGTACCACCCTCCCAGCTACACCTTTCTGCTTAGCAGATAAGAGGTATAGAGAGAACATCTTCATGATTTGATCACATTTAACAAACTAAAAAAATTCACTAATAATTTGAAATTCTTGTCCTACACATAGCTATCTCACTTCCAATGGCAAAATGGTGATCTGGAAAGCAAAAACAAAAACAAAAAAACAAACACACACAGGAAAAGAAAAAAAAAAAAACAGGAAGAGGCATAGTTCTTAGTAGTTGAGTTGTACTTGAAGGGTACAGGGAGCTGTTACCTGTATCCCAATAGATAGGCATCGGTTTTTCTTAAAGTCTTTCTTCCTGTCCTCGGTGGTAACAGTGGCTATGGTGGTGGTGGTGGTGACAGCAGCAGAATTATTGCCCATGTGTTGACTTGCTGGGCCGTGGATCTGGGCATTTGCGGCCTCGATGGCAGCTGTCAGAGCCTTCATACTGTCCAGACTTTCTGTGGAGTTGCTGAGGCCAGACTGGCTGATCATGTCTCCGCGCTGGCCTTGTCCGTCCATGTAGGCATCCTGCGCGGACTCTGTGCTACTCTGGGCTGTGATAGAAATGAAAGGTTTCGTGGTAGTTCTGGGTGGGACTGGAGGTGGAGTCTTCTTATATGTTGTAATGCAAGATGACACTGGAAGACAGTGAAAACAGAGACACTGTGATTCCTGCCTGGACTTTAGCTTCTGATATTGTCAGCCACAGCCATTGGAAATCAGGGCACTCGAAACACTCTCAGACACTGGACATGAAAATGAGTTCATGAGCAGAGTAAGTGAGGTCTTTGCTGGGGTGGAGGTGGGGGGGGTCATAGAGGTACTGCCTGTGGGGTAACCCACCATCGTAAGTGAGAGGGAAAGACTGGAAAACACCCACCTCTGAATTGGAGGTTTCTAAATGGAAGTTATAAGTTAACATGAACTAGATATGATTGATTGGTCAACCGTGGAACTCTCAGGTAGCAAGGGAGAAAGTGAGAGGAAGCTCAGGAGGGACAGTACCTACAGCTAATGCCAAACAGAGCAGCAGCCCATTAGAGATGGTTTTGGTGGTTGTAATTAGCACTGAGGAGGAAATGAGAGGTTGTGAGTGTGTGCAAGCTGAGCCTGGTAAGTGTGACAAGCTTGGGCCACATCAGCCATCGTAGACTGAGTTCCTCCCTGACTCTCTTTCCCTCCCTTTTCATCTGTGTTTTCTGTCTGTTTTTCTACCTATCTCCTTTCCCTGCCCCTCCCACCCCTGTTTTCTCTTTTGGATAGGTACTTACTATATAAACTTTTGTTCAGAAACTTTGCTGGGCACACTACTCACTAAGGGAACCTCCCCACTCCCAACACAGAATATATACTTGTTTATAAATCGACTCTGAGCCTCTCTTGGTCTCCATAATGCCACTCCTTGAAGTACCAACTCAAGCCTTCCTTTAGGGAGACTTCATCAAGTCAAGGGTGAACGTGTTCACCCTAGGCTGCTGTTTGCCTAGGTCCTCTCTGAGGCAGCTCCCAGCCTCCTCTCCAAACATCTGGCCACAGTTTTCAGCACCCTGGAGAACTGTGGCTGCCTCTCAGCTCCCATTTGTGGAGCGTGACTCAGAAAAAGGGAGATAAAAAAACTGATTTCCAAGTAGGACCTCCTACCAGTAAAGAGCAAGCCCTGTGCCTTGTTCTGAACTCAGTTCCCACCCCTCCTCCATTCTCCTTCCACACCTTCCCCATGTATACACACGGCTGGTACCTCTGTGGTTACAGAAAACCCACACAACTCCAACTTGTCGTCTTGGATTATCTCACCTAATAGAATATTTACTTCTGCATTGCCCATGCTTCCCTAGGCTAATAATAATAATGATGATAATAATATAATAATAAAATCCTATGCTGAATCATAAACAAGAGGGCCCTGTCTCTGCTGCCCTGTGATTGGAGTAATTTCCTTCACCATAAAGAATTACAGCGATGTTGTATACATTGTCATGTTACAATATCACACGCTCAGGAAGAGGACACCAGTGCATACCATGTTGGTCAGATGATCAGCAAACACTACACAGAATCTTCCACACACGCTTACTGCCAGGATCTCCTCAGGATGTGAACAGTGAGTGATAAGCAATTCAGCTCAACCCTCTCTCTCCTGAGAAATCAATCTACTAGTAGAAGATCCCAGTGGAAGAAGTCCCTTGTGCCTTCCAGGTCAAAGCAAGAGTCTACCTAGACTTGGGTTCAAGCCACAGTCTCACAGTTGAGTCTCCCACTAAGTCACGTGACCCTGACAAGTTGTCTCACTCTACCTGTGTCATGTACTTCTAAGCACTGTGATGCTGCCTCCTGCATCCCAGAAAGAGGTAAGGGTGGGTGGTAGCTGTGCTTGTGGTACAGACATCCATCTGAAGACTCAGAGGGGTTGGAGAAGGGCGAAGGCCATATACTCCCACCTGAACCTGATGACATCCGATCATGACATGACCTCTAGGGCAAGTTTTTTACAATGTGAACTCATTATTTCACTCAAAATCTATACTTAGGACGTTCAGGCTCAATCATTTTCCAAAGAAACTAAATGCTGCTTCCCAGGACACAGTGTCTGCTCTTCTAGGTTATTTATTTACCACTTGCTCTGAACTCTTCTGCCCTTTCCTTGTTATGCTGATCATCAAGCTGTCTGTCTGTCTATGTGGGTTTGACTCCAGAAACCAATGAAGCATTCTCTAAGTAATAACAGCAACGGCAAAACCCGGATTGGTACAGAAGAAAAATCATTTGATTTTCTAGAATACACAGAAAAAAAGTCCTGCCATGGGTACCTCCCAATATTTCCAACACAATGGCTGGCTTTGCCTCCTGCAAGGCCCATGCACTTCCCAGGCCAGCTGCAATTTTCTGAGTGTCAGATTGGACAGGGCCAATACTGGGGACATGCTGCCACAGCTGTTAAAATCAAATCAGAATTTGAGATTGTCCTACTTTAATAAAGTGGGTCAGGAGCATTGCTAGGGCTTGCTGGACTCCTGCCTACCTCCATGTTCAGGGAGAGACCCTGTCTCAAAGGAATAAAGTGGAGAGTTATGGAACAGGCCAGCCAGTGTCGCCTCTGGCCTCTGTGTGTATGTATGGGTACTTTGTACCTGTAGACACATTTGTGAATACAATACACACAGAGATACAGAAAGACAGATAGACAGATGATTGGTAGACACATAGATGATAGATAGGTCATAGATAGACCACAGATAGATGGATGATAGATAGGTAGATAGATGGTAGATAGGTCACAGATACACCATAGATAGGTGATAGATATATCAATGATAGGTAGCTCATAGATGATAGATAGATCATAGGTAGCTCATAGATGATAGAGAGATCATAGATAGATCATAGATAGACCATAGATAGATCATAGAGAGGAGAGAGTCAAAAAGTCAAATCAAGACTTTACAAATAACAGATTCCTATCATTTCAGTCAAACTTTTAAGTTTTTTTCTTCCACAGCATCTCATGTGGATACAATAGCCTTGGATTTGTTTTACAGTTGGCCTTGAACTCTCTCTCTTTTTTAAGATTTTATTTATTTATTATGTATATAACATTCTGCTTCCATGTATATCTGCACACTAGAAGAGGACACCAGATCTCATTACAGATGGTTGTGAGCCACCATGTGGTTGCTGGGAATTGCAGTCGGAAGAGCAGTCGGTGCTCTGAACCTCTGAGCCATCTCTCCAGCCCCTGGCCTTGAACTCTTAATCCTTCTCCCCCAATGCTTTGGAAGTACAGGTGTGGACTGTGGCTCAAGGCCATCTATATTCTAAATGAAAAGCAGTGTCAGTATGACAAGCCTCAGGCAGGGCCGGGCCAGAAGGCTTTCTGGAAGAAAATGTAGACTCCTCCCCTTCTGACCATCCTCTGTGAGCTCCCAAGCGCAGATGGCAGGTGGCCACTGGGCACACAAGCAAGCAGGGGCAGGGACACTCACTGAATTGCTCTCTTTATCCCCCCATTAAAGTTTATTTTAAATTATGTGTAGAAGGCTGCCCTGGTAAGTGTAGGTGCCTGCAGAGGCCTGAGGCACTGGATGCCCTGGAGCTGGTGTTACAGGTGGTTGTGTCTTCAGATCATGGGTGCTGGGAACCAAATTCAGGTCCTTTGTAACAGCACTGGTGTTCTTAGCCACTGGGCCGTCTCTTCAGCTACCCCAGGCCCCCACTATTGTTCTCTTAATAAGGCTTTGTTGTTGTTTTGAGGCAGGATTTCTCTGTGTAGCCCTGGATGACCCGGAAATCTCTGTAGACCTGTAGTTTTTACTGGTTAAGCCAATGGGTCATGTAACCAGCAAGCCGTATGCTTAGCAGTTGTTGGTTACTGTGATTGCAAAGGTTCTTCCTGATGTTGAGCCTGGCCTATGTGGAGAGAATGAATGTCTAAAGAGACACCTGTGCTCCTCTCTTTGGCTATAGAGTATCCAGAGTATTGCAAGGAAGGCCCAGGAGATAGTAGGCTTTCCCCAGAAATCTCTCTATGGGAGAGGAGGTAACTGAAACCCTTGGGTAACCGGAGGAGGAACTTGTCTCTCTGCCAAGGATTGACTAGTTAGCTGAGTTTGCAGGGGAGGCCTGGAGCCATAGCAGTAGTGGGTTGAGCGCCATTCCTTCTGGAACTGCATACCTCTTGCTTTTTAGTTAACCCTACACTCATGTCATGACCCCAAAGGGCAGACTGGGGGAAGTCGCTGGACCTCTTTGTCTCTCTCCCCTATGTGGCCACATTGAATGAGTCTCCATTTTCTGCTTTCACTATTGATTGGTCTATTGAGGATGGTTGGCAAAACCTGCTTCTTGGGGCACAGGCTGTGACACCTGAGTGCAGTAACAATATAAAAGCAAGCCCATCAGGGCCTACAAATAAAAACATAAGGGATGGGTCTGGTGAGAGGGCTGTATGCCTAAGAGCACTCATTCTTGCACAGGACCAGGGTTCAGTTCCCAGTACCGATGTGGTAGCTAACAACCATACTAGAGGACCCAACCCCTTTTCTGGTTTGTGGGCACTATAGACATGTGATGTACAGACACATATGGGCAGACACCCATCACATAATGAACAAAACAAAAAAAGTCACCACCTATCTACGTAGGTACACTTGGTATTTCAAATGAGGTAGGTGATGGTATATATTCTCAGCATTAGCAAGGTAGAGGTAGGAAGATCATAGCCCATAATGAAAAACAAAGCAAACTCCCTCCCTCCCCCGAAAATCAGTTATACAGTAGTCAAATAACCTTTTTATATGCAAACACATCATCCCACGGGACTTTATTGGTGGTGTTTTTGTGGTGCTAGATCTCTGAACCCATGGCCACAAGCTTGCTAACCAAGTGTATCGAAGTTGTTATTAAGCAAGCCCCGACTTGTTCAGCCTGAAGCCACATAGTAGGAGAGAACCAGGTCCTGCAAAGCTGTTTTCTGATCTTCACATGAACACAAGATCATGCATGTGGGTGCTAACCAAATTAATGAAAGACATTAAAAAGCCAAAACTAACATTGGTTCCTGCTGCCAACCCTTACAACCTGATTTGGTTTCAGGACCCACATAGTAGAAGGTGAGAACTGACTCCCCAAAGTTGTTCTG